GGGTAATTGTCAATCACTCAGAGTCAATTCCACCACAAGAAACAAACTGAGTTCTTACGGACAGATAGCTTTCAAACGATTCATATTCCTTGTCAGTGACACCATGTCGAGTAAGCTTTTGTAACGAGATCTGATGATCAATGATGTCGAAGGCTTTCCTCAAGTCCAAGAATGCACATACTACTTTCTCTGTTTTGTCGATAGCCATTTTCCATGAATCTACAGCTTGAATTAGTGCAACCGTTGTTGATGAATGCTTCCTAAAAGCGAATTGGTGTTGTTTTATAAGACCAAATTCTTGTGCATATATAACAAGGGCCTTGTTTGCAAGAGATTCTTGTATCTTGGAAACACACGGAAGCACTGATATGGGTCTGTAGTTGTCTCGTTCAAATTTTGATCCTCCCTTGAAAGCAGGACTTACTTTGGCAATCTTCCATGCAGAGGGGAATCGCCCGCATCTATATGACTGATTGAATACCTTGGTTAAAGGCGCAGAAATGTGGCTCCGCTACGCGTCGTGGTTTCCTACGCTCCTCTCGTGTTCTCCCAACATCCCGCGTGTTTTGATCAGAGTATCAAACACGGAAAACTGTTTTTGATCTGTTAAATCAAGGCTGACTTGAAAAGCACCAGAGGAAAATACTCGTTTGTCGACTCCAAGGTATATATGTAAATATTCAACTTCCCAAATTGTTACATCTGACTGCTTATTATAATACATATTTGACTCTCTGATTTTTAGAAATCGCTTCGTCATACCACCTCCGCRTGATACACAATCAGTWGCTCCACGTTGACCGATTCTCTTTCCCATGTACCAGCAATGGATCTGCTAAACATTGCCAAACCAGCTCGGCGCAAATACCACATTGCATTTCCATGGCAGCCGACCACCACTGCCAAACCAATCTGCAACAGCATTCAGCTGGAGTTTCCAAGTGAATACTTGGCTCAACCACAAGCTTCTGCCACAAATATCTCAACAACTAGCAGTGAGCGCCTACGTGGTCCCAACTGGTCTGACGCCGTGACAAGATTCTTTCTTGAATTGTGGCCTKATAGTTTCCCTATAACCTAAAGCCGAAACAGTGATGTTTGGGATGATAATTCAAAGAAATTTAACAAAATATTAAATGATCAAGGTCTCAGCAGCTTCAG